TCCGTGTTCGTTGTTTGAAGCACTGTCATTACTGGCTAGGCCCGTGTTCGTTGTTTGAAGCACTGTGACATTACTGGCTAGGTTCGTTGTATGAAGCACACAAGCACGACAGGCTTTGTCTGCAATTGATGAATGAAGCACACTGTCATTACAGCTCGTGTCTGCGCTTGATGAACGTAGAACACTCATTAGTACTGCTAGAGTCATGGGTCTGACTCTGTAACCCGTCGAGCTCTCTCGTTGGTAACTCCGACCTCTCCATTACTCGTGCAAATCCTGGTCCGCGCAACGTGGTGGCAGAAGACGACTTGACCCAAGATTGTGGAAAACGGCGCCGAAGATAGGGAAAAACACAGCGCACAAATTGTAGAAACAGGCGAGGTACTGGTCGTTACGACGTCGCGCGAAAAAGTCCGGAACTTAAAGTCCAGCCGAAATCTTTCTCACATGTCTCTGAACGCAAGATAGACCAAACTTGAAAGACAAGCCGAAATCTTTCTCAGATATATCTGAAGGCAAGAAGTCTAAACTTTCAAGTCAAGCCAAAATCTTTCTCCGGTGTTTATGAACACAAGAAATCCAAACTCTCAAAATGTAGCAACAGGCAACAGGCGTATTGATGCGAACTCTAGAACGTCCAACCTCTTAACTGACGCTATCTGCGACTAGTTGACCGGTCCAGGTTTTGAGCAGAATAATTTTAAATTCTTTTTCCTAATCCACGTGTGTAATCCATGCGTGACTGCCTGGTTTTCGGCATAGAGGGGAGAGGAGTAGGGATGGAGGGACCTGGAGGTGTAAACCGACTGGCCATTCGCCTTTGTGTTTAAAAAAAATTTCAAGCCATCCCAAATCTTTCAATACCATGACATTGCGTCACAAGTGTAAAAATTCAATCGTTACACTTTTTCGCACCTCACCACCAGCCTTTATCCAGGGGGGCTCTCGTGGCCTAGAGGTTAAGGTGTTGGCTTCTCATTCAAAAGGTCCCTGGTTCGAATCCGGGTAGCGACCGAAAAATTTTCTTCTCTAAATTTGTCTCCTTTCAAGAAAAGAGGCATATTATATATAAAGGCCTAATATATAATAAATATGTTCCGTACATTAATGGTGGAAAAGATTCTCAAAGTTAAGATATTGTTTTATACCATACTTGGGGTTGTTTTAGGGTTGCAATTCCTGTGAAATAAATCCGTGTATATCACACGTGAAATATTAGCTGATAGTAGAATCTATCTGCCACATGATATAGAAGCTGATAGATAGATTCTACTATCAGCTTATATATCACCTATCTCATACGTGATATAAAAGCTGATAGTTTATATATAAGCTGATAGTTGAATCTATCTCACACTTTAAATAGAACAATTTGCATAAATTACTCCGCGCATTATATTCGTCTTCTAACCTTCTGTAAGCAAAGTATCTCTAGGGTCTAGACTTGAATCACAATATTCCTAGACCGGACAATGTTATGGAAGCCGCTCTTTGCCCTCTGTAA